GGACATGGCGGCGGAGCGGAGCGGCCCTGAGGAGGCTGCGGCGGGCGGCGAGGACGGCCCATCCGTCCAGGTGACGCCGGGCCGCGCCGAGGTCTTCGCCACCGTGGTGGACACCTTCCTGGAGAAGCTGGTGGCAGCCGGGAGGTGAGGCGGGAATGGGGGCCGCTATGTGAGAGCCGGGGCCTGGCCGAGCTCTGCCGAGGGGAGGCCCCGGGCCCGGGCCCGGGCAGTGACACACACACCCCCCCCCCCCCTCCCCGCCCCTCCGGTTTTGCAGCTACCAGAAGTTTGCAAACTGCTACCGCTGCTTCTACAAACTACAGCCCGAAGTGACCAGGAGCATTTACGATCAGTTTATATCCCAGCTGCAGACGTCTGTCAAGGTGAAAGGGGAAGCAAACCCTTAGGGGCAGGGGCTGGGGGATGCGCCTGCCTTCGGAGGGGCTTCAGGCCCAGGTGTGGAAGTGCTGAACGTGTTGCTCTTAAGGGTAGCAAATACATTTCTTGAATGGCAAAAGCAGAAAGTTAAGACTGCTCCCCAGAGATTCTTCCAGACCTCTTTGTCTTCTCCAGAAAGAGCCATGGAATCATAGAATTGTTTAGGTTGGAAAAGACCCTTAAGATCATTGAGTCCAGCTGTAAACCTAACACTGCCAGCTCCACTGCTAAACCATGTCCCCAAGCACCACATCTACATTCTTTTAAATACCTGCAGGGACGGTGACTCAATACATGGTGATTTCCAGGATGTAGCCATTGTCCAGGGAAAAGCGAGGGCTCACAAGCGGAATGATGCCTGTGTCAGTTCAGTTTGGGTCCTGCTGAATCCCTGTGGTGTACTTCCTTCACAGGATGAGATCCAGGAGGTAAAGAATGAAGGGAACCTGGAGCTGCTCTTTAATTCACTGGATAAGATGGTGGAGGAGGCAAAGAACCAGGAAGAGCCTGCGTGGTATGGATGGTCTGGGGAGCATGTATGTGTGGAGGCATATTCCTTCAAGGGCGAAAGTCAGCTCCCGTGTGATGTTTGGGTTGTGTCGATGTGCCCTGTAGGCCTTGTGCCACAGGGGAATTTTTTAAACCTCACATATCTTAACAGCAATGTTGTTGCATCTAAAACTTCCGAAAACAAGTTTTATCTGTGCTTCTCTAGGTGATGTATCTATGCTTCCTCTCAGCACAAGGAGGAGGTTAGTGCTGCTGAGACCAGGGGGAGGTAAACTCAATCCTGAATAACTCAAAAGGCTGATGGCATGTTTTAGCCACAGCTACTGTTCTAATAGCAGAGCTCACATCAACACTTCTTGTGGGGATGTCTTGCTCAGGGACTCAGCAGGCACTGGAAGTTGTACACGCTGCCTTTTCTTCACCCTAAAGACAGGCTGGGTCTTTTTAATCAAAAGCATCATCACGACTTCTTGTTTCTGTGTTTGGGGATGTTAATTACACCCTGCCTGCCTCCAGGCCTCAGCTAATGGCAGAGTTTTGGGAAGGACTCCTCCTGTTCCTTCACGTACAGCGTTAGGGGGCTACACAATGGGGTGCCTGTTAGACACGCACGTTCTAGCTGTCCTCAAGCATCCAGTGCCAGAGGAAACTTGCTGGAGTTGGTGAGCTGATATGTTATGGCAGCAACTCAGCTTCCAGCTGAGGTGCGCGAGACTAATTGCTATGCGAGACAGTTGCTCTCTGGTTGTTTCACATCCCAGTTTGTTCCCAGGCGTCCCAGCGGGATCCCAGAAGAGGACATTCGCAGTGCTATGGTGCCGTACCTCCTTAAGCACAGGTCATACTTGCGGAAAATCCTAAAGGAGAAGGAGGAAGAGAACAGGAAGGTAGCAGAGTCTGTGCTTGCAGGGAGGAATAGGATTGGAGAGCTGCAGCAGCTGATACAAGCTCGCAAACATGCCTGGCAGGTAAAAATAAAAAAGAAACAAATAAAACCCCCTTCTCTTTCTTTGCAGCATCAGCCTGAAAGAAACACTGTCCTGTGTTTTGACACAGGATATCATATTTGACTAGCAAACGTCTGCACTATATTTAAGCCCTCCAGTTATCAAAGGCCTCACCAAGAGCCATATACTGCCAAAATTGGCCTGGGAGGCCTGGGCATTTTCACTGGAGATCTTGGATGTTTTTTCCTGTGCCCTGGATGGGGGTTTCTGTGGGTGAGCCTGTGAGATTAGTGGGTTGTATTCCGTATGTGGTGGGGACGTCAGTGTATATAACGCTGTGTTTCTACCACCTTGCTTTGTGTCCTGACCGCTGGCATCTACGGAAAAAAACACTTTGCTGAGTTCCATGGTGGTTGTTTTCCTTCCAGGCAATTAGTAAAGAGCAACGAGAACTCATCATGACATTCAAGGAGCCCCAGTGAGGACGTGGGGAATTTCTGCAGGTTTCATGGGGGGAGTTTATCCTCATCTTTGAAGCGTGGACAACGCGGTGGGAAGCGGGACTCTGTATGTGGCGTATACAAACCACGCAAACTCACATTCTTCTTGTCAGGCCAGAAGAAACTTGCAGTGGGACTGAAAAGCTGCTGGACTTGCACAATTAGATCAAAGTTTGTGAAGAAATAAAAAAGAACACAGCAGGATCTTTGGAAATAGATGACAATTTCCTATTCCTTGCCCAGCTCAACAGGGAGGAGAATCCTACAGGTCTGATAGCCAGAGCATGTCTGTACACTCACACGCTTTTTTAGCACTGTGACAGGCATGACTCTAGCTGACTAAAGCCAAATTTGTGACCTTGCAGGTATTTCAGATGTGCATTAGAGAAAAATAGGTGCCTTATGCACAGAGGCTGTGCTGTGCACAGGAATGAGGAGCCAGCAAGCTGTAGCACACAAAGCCCGCAGTTGGGTAAATGCTACCATGGCATTTTGTACAGCTGGAGCATAAATAGCCATGTCAGACTCTTGCCGCATTTTTGCAGTGTTCGTTTTCAGTATCCGTGTGTTTAAACAATTGTTCACCTGTGACCCATCAGAACAGACATGTCAGCAGCTGCTTTATCACAGCAAGTTCCTCGTTGCCATTTATTCTTTTTTTCCAGTTATTTTCCAACCCTGCTCCCCTCCCAGCCAATACGCACTGAGGGCGCTTCTCTGAGGACCGCAGTGTGAAGGATCCAGGGAGGTGCCGTTGTGTGTGTGGAGATGAGCAGAGGTTAGAATGGCCCTGCCTCGACTTTGTGGGCTCATGGCAAAGGGATTTAATGTTTTCCTGTGAAACCTGCATGTTGACTCCTGGAACCAAACTGGGTTTGGTTTTACCCATCTGGAGTTGTTCATTACCGTCTCATCAGAAGTTTGCCAGCCAGGGAAGCCGGGACTCACTGGAGTCTGCCTGGTGGGGCATTAGTGAAGCCCTGCAAGCGAGGCGTATCTTCAAAATGGAGAAAAAGTCCTTCCTCTGGGCTGGACAGATAACGAGGAGAGTCTTACTGAGCCTGACACAGACTGATGGTGAGTCTAATTCCAACAGACACCAAATCTGCCAAGGGCAGCAGGTTCTCTGGTCACCTGTTGTTCCTCCTCACCTGTTGTGCAATTCGGCTGTTAGTGCCTGCCATCCCAAGGAGAGACTGTGCCCTGCGTGGTGGGGAAGTAATACAAACTCTGAGAACAACAGTGGCGATTTCCACCAAGCGCAAGCCTCTGTTTTCAATTAGAGGCAGCCAGAGACTGCGACTGACTGACTTAGGCATATTTTCCTTCTGTCGTAAACAAGACTTCCCTTGCTGCATTATAATCTAAATAAATTGGAGCTGTTGTTCCCCCAGTCTTGGCTCCTGCTGCATGCGCTTGGCCTGCATACTCTATAGTTTATGGGTTTGTTTGACAAAGGCTCTGGCTTCAGCATTTCTCTCCTCCTCCGCCCCAAAGGCTCTGGTTCCGCTTTTCAAGACAGGGCTGGGATTTATAGGATCTGAAAGTCTGGAAAGTGGTCAGGATCCCAAAGAGGAATGTCACCCCAGGTGGCCCTGGGGGCTCCTACTGCTTGGAGCCCTCCTGGAGTTAAATAGGAGCAAACTCCAGAGGTGGGTGAGCACCCTGAGCACTGCTGGGGCCTTCTGGCGAGTAGGAAGTAAAAGTATGTATGAACAAGAGATCTCCAGCTGCTCTGCTCCCCTTCACCTCTGCTCGGTGCCTGAACCACAGCAGTAGCACACTTTATGTTCTCTCAAAGTCCTGTTTTGGGGTTTTAAGAGGTGCTGGACTTCTTTCCAAGGTCCTCTTTCTGGGAGCAGGCACTGCCTGGGGCCCCAGCCCTGGCACACAGCATCTGCCCATGGGATGTGGCATGGGAGACCTGCGTGGAGACAGAGGGCCAGGGCGCCTGCTCACCCTCTCGTCCTGGGTCACAGCAGTCAGCCCCGGCAAGGGGCTGTGACAATGATGCCACAGAAGGAGCACATGCTGGTCCCCGAGGCAAAAACTGGCCAACAAGTCCCCAGTGGCCCTGCATGGAAAGGAAAACCCCACAGGTTTTGGCAGGAAACTCCTAGTGTGGCAGCAACCCTGCTGGGATCCAGCAGTGGGAACTGGGACAGACCAGTCAGTGACTGGGGAGTGCAGTAAGGGGTCCCACCAGTGCCCCATCTCCCATCCCAGTTAGGGACAGGTGGGGACTGAGTGCTGCCAGGCCGGCAGGGCTAGGGCCCACCAGCAAATCTCCACTGGCCTGGGGCCATGTTTCCCTCCCTGTGGGCTCTGGCTGGTCAAGGGGGAACTGAGTTCACCCCAAACCACAATTGCCGCCTGTGCTGGCGGCTCCCGGCCCCGGCGGATGTGCTGGAAATAACCCTGGCAGGACCGCGGGGCCCCTCCTTGGCGGCGGTCGCAGCATCCTATAAAGTCTCTCGGGGACCAGGGTCTGCACTGAGCACAGCACCCGTGCAGAGAGGCACCATGAAGCCCCTCGTCCTGCTCACCCTCCTGGCCCTTCTCACTCTTGGCCTCTGCCGCAGAGGTACGGGGTAGTCCGGGACGGAACAGGGTGATGGGGGCTGGGGCGGGGAGGATGCCGTAGGAAAGGATCTGCTGTGAGCTGGAGGGAGCAAAGGGGCTTGGAGAGGGGTTTGCTGAGCCTTGGGGCGGAGGGAGCAGGGGGACAGGGATGGGGACACCCTTTGGCAGGGGTCTGGGTGAGGGGTCGGGGGGAGTTGGGATGAGAGCCCCAAAAGGAGGAGCAGGGTGAGGGCACAGCCTGCACAGGGCCTTCCAGAGCCCATCAGCTGCCCTGACTGTGCCATGCCATCCATCAGCTGCTGACCGCTCCCTCAGCGCAGATGACTCGCCCAGCTCTGAAGGTGAGTGTCTGTGGCCGGATTTGTCCCTGCTGTCCCAGGGATGGGGGCACCCAGCCCTCCATGACCCCCTGCTATGTCCCCGCAGCCTTCGTCTCCAGACGCGCCAGCGCCGAGGTGGTGCGGAGACACAAGAGGAATTACATCTATGACAGGTAGTGCTTGACCCCATTGTGCTGGGGACTGTGTCCCCCCCCTCTGGGTGACATTGGGGTGGGGGAGCACACATTCCCCATCCACCACATCATAAAATGAAATCCTGGTTTTGGGAGGGGCCCTGCTGGCTGGGCCCTGCCCCAGTAGCCTCCAGCCCCCACGGACCCTCCAACATCTCTCATCCATCCCCAGCAGCGTCTATGGTGCCGTGCGTGACCCACTGGAGGCCAAGCGTGAGGTGTGTGAGTTCAACCCTGACTGCGATGAGCTGGCTGACCACATCGGCTTCCAGGAAGCATACCGGCGCTTCTACGGCCCCGTCTAGCCCCCCCACGCCCCCCCAGCCATGCTGTGGCCTTGCAGGTGCTGGGTCTGAGCTCAGAGCACCAACCTCCCTCGAGCAGCCCTCCTTTTACACCCCCTTCTGTTAACCATGAAAAGAAATAAATGCACAAATGGTGTAGCCAGCTTGTTCCTAGTCTGAGAGGATAGGTGCGAGACCGCCGTGGACGTGCCCCATGTCATCCCCACGAGGCTGAGGACCCCCAGGTTATTCCTCCCTCTCCCAACACCCAAAGCCTCCAGGGCAGAGCAGTGTCCGTCACCACCCGGTGTCTGTCCCTGGCAATGATGAGCTCAGCACTTGCACCATTATTCCAGTTTAATTTAAAGCTGCTTGTCTCAAGCGTGGGGTTATTAGGGGGCAGAGGGACTGCTCGATGTGCCCCAGAGCCCTGCACCCTTCCCAGCGGCAGGATTTCCTTAGCAAACCGCCATTTCATTAAGGCTGGGTTTGGCGGGGGAAGTGGGGGAGATTGGGACCCTAGTCCCATGCATGGTGCTGTACCCAGCCACGGTCCTTCCTGCATATCCAGCATGCATGTGCGTGTGCGCGTGCGCGTGCGCGTGCCTCATGCTGGGGGGCTGCTGGGGTCTGTGTCTCCTATCCCCCTGAACCACCTGCAAAGTTGCTGCTGGGTTCCCCATACAGGGCAACATACCTCCCCTGCCCCAAATTCATCTCCTGTATGGCCCTGGCCACGGCTCCTGGGGTCCCATGGCACAGGACCCCTGCCCCAAGCTACCTGGCTCAGCCAGGGCACTGGGGCCAACTCCATGCCAGGCACTGACCCCTGCTCCTACAAAACATAGCCTTTGCCAGTCCTCTGCACCCTCACCTCAAGGCCAAATCCCTCAGCTCTGCCTCCAGCCCCAGACCCCTCAGCCCTTGCCTGTGCCCAGAGATCCAGTGCCTGACACTGAGCAATGGCTGGGCTGCAGAGGGGCCATGCATGCTGCAGCAAGGACATGCACACTGTGTTGGAGCTGTGCACATCACATCAGGGCCACTGGTACTGCAGCTCACCCCTGCTGGGCTGTGACAACCCTGGCTACACATGTGCATGCGCACGCGCGCGCACACACACACACGGGTCCCCAGGGTTACTGCGCTGAACCTGCTGGGAAACGGGCCAGTGCGGTGGTCCATGGATTTGGGGGTCCCAGGCCCTGGGGCTGAGGCAGGGTGCCTCCGTGCAGGCTGCTACATGGGTTAGGTGCAGCGTAAGTGTGCTACAGTGCCCTCCCTGCAGTGATGAGTACGATTAGCCATATTTAAAAGGTGGGGAAACTGAGGCATGGGGATGGGGCGGGTGGGTGGCTTGGCTGCCTGCAGAGGGACCAGGGTAAGGGGGGGACACACTTCATCTTATGACACCCCAAGATATCCAACAGCGAGCCCCAGGTGTCTGAGCCCCTCACCCTATTCTCCCCACACTTGGGGGTGGGGGGGAGCTCTGGGGGGTGCCAGGACGACTGGGTCCCCACAGCCCCTTGCAGCCCAGCCACTCACCCCACAGCATCACAGCTCCCTAGAGCGCCCAGCCTCACTGGGGACGCTTGGGGGGCTAACAAAGCTGCCAGGCACCCGGGGCAAGGCAGCGGTGAAGGCGCCGATGATGGCAGCATTGCCCAAAAAGGCCAGTCCGGCAGTGCCAAAGGTGCCGGGGAGGCCGGGGGCAGGCAGGCGGCCCTGCAGCCAGGCCCGACGTGAGCACACGTCACAGAGGATGGCCTCCAGCTGGAAGTGGGTGCCCAGCACAGCGCAGATGTGGAAGAGCTGGTGGCTGTGTCCTACCGGAGTGAGAGGCCAATGTCACCCCTGGGTGCTGGGACTCCTTGCCCAGCTCCTGCTGCAAGGGGTTGCTTTGGGGGCAGGGGGGACTGGAGCTGTGGCACTGGGGGCTGCTGCTCACCAATGTAGTCGAAGCGGCCGGGTGCCAGGCGCTCAGGCAGGTGGGATGCGAAGAGGAAGCCGGTGAGCAGTGCAAAGAGGAGGTGGTAGCAGTACCCGGCCATAGCCTCATTCCAGGCGCAGTTACTCCAGAAGCAGAAGAGAAGCTGCGGATAGACGGGTGAGGAACAGGCTGGGACCACCTCTGGAAGCACCCTGTGACCCCTGTGGTGGTGGCACCTGACTCCTGCCCCGGGACACCCTGACTCACCCGGCAGAAAAGCGGGATGTTGTCGTAGAGGAACGGGTACACGAAAGCTGCCGTCCGTAGCACCTTGCTCAGCCGGGGATGCTCCAGCTCAGGGAAGCTGTGAAGGGCAAACGGGGAAGGGGGTGCAGTGACCCCTGCCAGCCCCCACAGCGAGGACCCTGCAAGCACCTTGGCTTTGGGCCAGACCCACTGCCTGAGGAGGGGGACCCTCCCCAGGGACACTCTGCAGGACCCCAACGCTGAGAAGGAGGAAACCTCCAGCGCCAGTTTCCATCCAGCTGCAGCGCTGGCGCTTTTACCCAAAACATACCGGGAGTAGCAAGAGAGGCTGGTGCAGACAAAGGAGTTAAAAGCAGCCACGGGGACAAAGTAATGGTGCAAAACGCCACTAACCCAGTGGTCTGGCATCGTGTAGGCACCATAGGCAAATGCACAGCCTGCAAGAGAAATGCAGCATCATGGGGCCAGCGGCTCCCTGTCCATGCCTGCCCCCCATGCCTGCCCCCATCCCTATCCCCATGCCAGTTCCTCTCTGCAGTGTCTCACCCAGGCTGTAGAGGCTGAGGGCTCCATAGTCACAGAAGTAGCAGATATGGCGCGCACGCGCCGACATGGAGCTGAAGGTGTGGGCGCAGCTGGAGGCAAAGGGGTAGAGGCAGACAAGCAGCAGGTAGATGAGCAGGGGCCAGTGGTAGGGCTCCTGGCAGAAGTCCAGGGAGGATGAGAGCACCAGGAAGCGCCACACAAAATACCTGCAGGCACAGCATATACTGAGGTGAGATCCATCCCTGTCCCTATCCCCATCCCTGTCTCTGTCCCCACCCCCAGTCCCATCTCCATCCTTTCTTTGTCCCCATCTCCATCCCCTCCTCACCCCCATGCTTGTCCCCATCCTTGTCCCCATTCCCATCTCCATCCTTTCATCATTCCCATCCTTGTCCCTGACTCCATACCCAGGTCCATCCCGATTCCTGTCTCTATCCTGTACCCTGTGCCCAATGCCATTCCTATTCACATCCTCATCTCTGTCTCCGTCCCTCTCCCCATCCCCACCAGGTCGGTAGGAAGTGTGTCCAGATGTTGACTGTCTCGTTAGTCATCTGGAAGGAGCTGAGGACGCAGTCAAGGGCTGAGCTCTTGGGGTGCCGGTACCCTGACATGATCCCATCCTCCCAGAAGATCTGCAGGGACAGTGGGGCTGGTCAGAGGACATGCCAGGGGGAGTGGGGCAGCCCCAAAGAACTGCTCTGGCCTCGTGGTGGGTGGGGAAACTGAGGCAGGATGGGCTGGGAGTCTCTCACCAGCTGGAGCAAGGTTGGGTGGTTTTCCAGGTGATTTTCCACCTTGGATGAGGGAATTGCGGGGAAAAGCCTGGGGGCAGAGCTGCACCATCACCCAGCCACACGTACCCGAGGCACCTGATGGACCCTGAAGATCTGCGGCAGCTTTATCGTCAGCATGGCAGGGCCGAGGTGCTCAGAGCTAGAGGCGTCGGGGTGCTGGGCCACAGCCCATGTCCTGCGGAGATGGGACAGAGTCCACTGGGTGACAGGAGTGGGGCTGCAGGAGCCAAGACAGCAACCTCCAGGTGGGGTCTTGGCTCGGGTCAGTGGCTTTTTCCAGGGATGCGATCAGCACAGCCTGCTCCCTGCTTGACTCTTCCAGAGAACCATGGTGGGGGTGTGGGTGGGGTGTCTGAGCAGGATCAGGCCCCCCCCAGGCCCAGGATGGGGTGAGCACGATGGGGCCACGGGTGGGGGCTGCAGCAAAAAGCCAGATCCTGCCCTCATCCCCTACCCCACTGCATCCTCCCTCCCTGTGGAGGCTCCTGACGGTGTTTACTTGCTCTGGGGATCTCCCTGGTAGACGTAGGCTTAGGATCAGGCCACCGTGGAGGGGGCAAAGCCCCACGGATGCCCTGCAGCCCCCCCGAGCCCTGGTCCAGCCCAAGAGGTTGTGTTACGCAGGGGCCAGGATGAAGCAGGACACCGAACTCAGCGGCTGGGGAAGGGTTTCTCCAGTGGGGAAACTGAGGCACGGCACAGGGAAAGCAGCCCAGCAGCATGAGGGCAGTCCTGAGTGTTCCCACCCACCCTCCGCAGCCCAAAACTCACCCAATGGTTTAGAAGGAGGGGGAGAGGAAGGAAAAAAACAAAACAACCCGAAAGCGTCCGGAGACACTTCCCACCACCCTGCTGAGTGGAGCCGGCGAGGAGCACTGCTGGGGTGGTGGGCGATGCTGTGCTGGGAGCCCCCTCCTTGCCGCCACGGGCCAGGGGTCTCAGCCCCACCACTGTCGCTCACAGCCCTTCTTCCCAGCCGCATTCCTGGGCTGTGGAAATTTGCCAAAATGTCCCTCCCCAGCAGCTCCTGCTCATTGGTGGAAGGGGCAGTCAGGGCTTCTCTGTGGGGGCTCAACGGGAACTTTGTGCTGGACACGCTGCCTGTCCTGCCATGGCCTTGCTGCCTGCTTTGGCCGAAATCCCCCCCAATTCCCCCCTGATGCAAGATCCCTCACCATGCATGGCGGGGGCGTCGGTGGAGGAACTATTGGAAAGTGGCTCCGGGCATCAGACTTTAAATGCCAACAAGCTCTTCAGCTGGGAGAGCTGGGGCGGGTGGTGGAGCCGAGTGCCAGGTCCACGCAGGAACCTACAGCAAACACCCACCAGGTTACACCGCAGGGTCCCACAAGCACAATGAAAAGAGGTGCAGAAAGCAAAAGTACATTTGGGAAAGCATCCCCGACTGACCTGATGGCGTCCCGCTGGCACAAGGAGGGCTGGAGGTGGCTCAGGCTCAGTCCATGGGAGCAAAAGCCAGCAGACGTCCACGCCGCAGTCAGATGCAGCCACCGTTCAGGAGGTGGAGGGTTGAACTGTGAGCCGGATTGATGCTTTCAAAGCCCGCATCTTTGGGGATTTATTTACCCCCAGAGGGCTCATGTTCCCGGCTCAGCCGTGGGTGCTGGGCACAGCGTGGGGAGCCACAGCTCCCCAGGACGAGGAGCTCAAATCCACCATGCTCAGTATGAAGAGCCACAGGCACAAGGCTGATCTGCATACAGGGCTCTGGTGCACTGGCAGCCCTGGCCAAGGGGAAGCTGCGTTTCTCCGGCCGGCGTTGCCAGGAGGTCAGTGGGAGGGTTTGGGGTCTTGCTGCCTGCCTGCAAAGGGGCCTGCTCTATCCATGCAGGGATGCAGGCCCTAGTGCTGAAAAGCCCCTCCAAAATAACCTGTGTGAAGCAAAGCAAACCCTGGGTGAGGACCTATTTGGCGCAGGGAAATGCCATCTCTGTGTGGGGAGAATTGGGAAGCAGAGGTGCAGAGAGGGTGGGGAATGGGGGCTGAGCAGGGCTGGAAAGAGGGAGGCTCCTGCAGCTTTCCAAGGACTCGGCACCCAAATGAACAGGAGGACCAGGAGTCCCAGCTCTTCATCAGAGTTACAGTTTTGCAGGAGCAAACCCTTCAGTTCATTTCCAGTGTGAGGGGTGTGGGCCAGACCCCCACGGATGGGGCACTCCTTGCAGCAACACGCTGCCTATGCCAACTTGAAAACGGAGTCACAGAGCGTTTGTTAACAGGGCAGGTAGCACATCCACAGCCCCCACCAAGGCCATTAATGCTGGGCAGCGTCTTGGCACAGACCTTGCAAGCTAGAAGCAGCCTTTCTAGCCCCTTTGGAGGGGACAGAGCTGGCAGTGACAGGTCCCTTTTGTGCCACCGCAGGCAGTGGCGTTGGGACACAGGGCACGTCTCACCCCGCAGGAAGAAGTCGCCCATGGCTTATTCTCCCACTAAAGACTGAAAGCCGGATTTGCCTTTTCACAACCTCCCTCTCCGACCTTCCCACTGCTGGCAGCCTCCAAAGAACTGGAGCCTAAGAGTAAATTATATTGGTGCCTGGCTCAATGCTTTCCACTAACAGAGCAAATAAAGGAGCTTTGGTGTGAATGAATACAGGGAATGGAAGATCCCCCCCCCCCCAAACACACACTCCCAGCTTCCCTAGTCACCAGTGCCTGGCATGGACCCTCATTGAGCCTGACTTCAAGCATGCTGCCCAGCTCTGCACCTGAAACCAAGCCTCTTAAAGGCACCTCGAATTAACACTTAAAAGTCACACATTTTAAAAAATGTATACTTTCCACTCCCCCTTTTAAAACCAAGCTGAGAAGGCGCCCAATAAAGCACTTCAGTTATTTTTGCTGACTGCACTGTTGCTGGGGTTGGGGATGCTCCTGTGGGCAGCAACATGCAGAGTCCTGGCAAGATGAACTCATCCTGAACCACAAAGGCAGTGAGCAAAGAGGAAAGGAACAAAGGAAATACTATTCCTGCTATAGGGATAAGGAAGGGACCCACCTACATTTCATCCTATCAAATCAAAAGCAAACCAAGGTTATGCCTTCCTTCACTCGAGTCAAATAACATTCAGAGGATTTGGGAATGGCAAAGCTTTTTTTTTCTGAAAAGCATAAAGTTTGGTCAGCAAAGCTCACATTTGAACGTGGATTCTTATATAAAAAATGTACCCATCTCTGGGACTGCGTAGGAAAAACAAGGGCTGGGCTGGGAATCACCACAAAACAAGAGGTACAAACATCTCATATTTTATTAAGCTAGTCGATGTGTTCGGATCACAGTCAAGACACATGCCGTGAAGCCCCCAAGCTCCTCCTCGTCCCAGCTGGGGTCCAACAGCCATCCCATCGGTCCCCCAGTGAGAGCTATCTAAGCACAAATCCACAGGCTGGGCTTTTTTGTGCTAGAAAAGGAGGACTGAGGGAGAGATGATTGTCCCTCGCCTCAAACCAAGCAACAGCCCTCTCCCTGCCAGCAGAGACAGGATGAGTGACACAGGGATCCTGTGCCAACCCTCCTGCCCTTCTCCATTCTTGCAGCCACCCCGTTTTCCCCACCCTGTTTTCTGCCCCAGACAGACTGGCTAGCTCTGCTGGATGACAAGGGGAAAAAAAAAAAAAAAAAAAAATATAAGATGCAAGCAAAGATCCAAGGCATTGCAGGTTGGCATCGAGCTGAGCAAGGATGGGAGCAGAGGAAGAGTCGCTTGGCACAGCCCATGAAACCACTGAGCAGAAGTCCAACAAGCACCAGTGACTGTGTCCACCAACCATGGCATGGGGACAGCCCCTGGCCCCTGCGCTGCCTCCATGGGAAACCCAGCGAGCTTCAACCACCACAAACCTGTGCTCTCCCAGCTTGGGGTCACCCTATAAACTTCCAAGAGCTCAACATGGTGGTAACAAAAAGAAAATCAAAACCAAGAAACACACAAAAACACATTAAAAACAATGCTTTCAGCCCACAAGATTGTTTTTCTTTTTTCTCTCCTTCCCAGCACAGTGGGCGTTACGGGACTAGCTTGGAGCTGGTCTTAGCAAGCCTTGAGTTGGTACCGAAATAGCACCATATGGATTAGCAGTGGACCAGAGCTAGCTTTCACAAAGCTCCATCACCGCATGACGCTAGCTTGGCGAGTCAGTTTGTGGCTCACTCTCAGGCTGGCATGAATATGCTGTGGTGAACTCTCAGGAAACCCCAGCCACAGCACTCAGGAGCCGTGGGCAGAGCAGCATGCCAGGATACATGGAGCCTCTGTACTGACCTTCCAAGTTTCCTTTAGCCCTGGAGAACTGCTTAGCATCAGCAAGCAACACAACAGGCCAGGGAAGTTGGCCTCCTGCTTTTGGCTTCTCGGTTGGGACTTGGAAGAGATGCACCAATCCCGTGTGGGGCAAACTGGCACAGGCCCTTGGACATAGCAGATCTGTATCAATTTATACCCAGGGAGGGTATTCCAACTCATCACGAGTGCTGGGATTGGGGTTAAGAAGTGTTTTCCTTTACCCCAATCTTAAAGACATCAAGTTGAGCCTCCATTAGAAGGCAACACTTCCCAGAGGACACAGCTTGTCATCTTCCAAGGCCACTCTGCAGCTGTGCTGTTCTGGAGCTTTTAAGTCTCCCACTTTTTCAGCTTTGTGTATCTCTGAGTGGGGATGTGCATCCAAAAAAAAAATTCATTAGGTCCTCAACTGTAGTTGCATGTTCTGGAGAGGAAGCAGGGTGGCACATGGATCTTTCAGGTGCCTTTTTTAAAAGGTTACTATCCCTCCCCACTCAGCCCAGAGGTAGTGTACTGAAAGGTGCCACTGGGCAGTTAAGATTCCCCATTGAAGGGCTAGGGTGTTTTCCTCCTCTCCAGGTGTGCAAAACCTCAGGGTAATATTAAAAAAAACCCTCAGGAGACCAGGGCAGTTACTAAGAGATGGTTATGAGGAAAGTAAGGCAACAGCCTTGCTGTCTTTTAGAAAGCAGCCCTCTGATTTCACCATGTGGCCCCTAAGTGGGCTCACTGCAGCTCAGCAACAACATCTTGTTACAGAAATGTTAAGTTTATTTACTTTTGTTCTTAAACTGACTTCTGTGTTCAGCCCAAACAAATCACCAGTCTGATTCAGGACACGGATGGACTGTGTTAGCCCATCTTCTGTACTGGACTGTGACCCCTTGCTCCCACCCCGTTCAATGACAGCACCAACCTCGTCTACTGCCCTGACACCATAGCACTTGACTCCCAGCTCTCATCCTGCACCACCAGCGGCCTGGGGAGCTGTATGAACCAAGACACTTGTGACTGGCGTGACAGGCATTCCCTTTTGGTTGCTGCTTTACTTGCATTGCTCTTTTCTCCCCTCAAGATCTAGCTGTGGACAAGGGAATACCTGGCCCAGAGCAAAGCTGAGGAATGCCTCCAGCTCCTCACTATTTTGATTTCAGCCAAGCAATGCTCTTTTTTTTACCAACCCCAAGTGCACACTTTGCACTATGCAGCCAGAAGGGAATGACAATTAGGCCTCTCAGGACTGCAAACACAACCAGGCTTCAGCTCAAGACCTCCAGAAGAGAGTTGCAGACTACAGACCCTTCTGATGTGCTTTGCAGCAAGGTAGATGGTTTTCTTAAGCAGCAGGGGGGGAAGGAAAAAAAAAAAAAAAAAAAGCAATCCCACTGAGCCAGGCTTCCACCAAACAAGGAGTGTATCTCAATAACTGAGCAGCACTCTCCAAGTCGACTGAGGGGCAGAAGGGGAGCCGACTGCTCTCCACTTCACCACACTGCTCTGGCTCATACACCGAAGGACAAGTCCCACAAGGTGATTCTCTTTTCTTTTCCCACCCCATCAAACAAAAATAATGAGCTAGACAAACAAATGGCTTAAAATAAAAACACTGGTAGCACTGGAGAAAAGAGTGACTGACAAGCTTCACAGCCCATCCTGGATCTCTAAGAACACCCAAGATGAGCTATAGTCTTTGACCTGCCGTTCTGCTTATGTTGTTTCCTTGGCTTAGCCTAGGAAAGCACTGCAAGTTTCAGGAGAAGCTGCAAAAGTAAAAACCTGTAGGGAAACTCTGCCACTCTACAGCCTCCACTTGCCTTTCAGACCACAAGGTATGGACCTTGTACGGCCAGCTCCAGCTGTAACTTAAAGCTTGGCGTTTCTCTCTGCTGTGCTACAAGGCTGCATGCTGCAAAGGAACTGAAATTGGAATATAAATGAATCCTCTGGGACTTGTGCTGTTTTTTTTTTAGTTTTTACCTGAAAACAAGGAACATCCTGCCACTCCAGTACAATGCATCATGCTAGGAAGTCTGCACAGATTGGAGTATGTTACTTGTCTTTCCATATTACAACCCTTTTGTAGCAGTTTCTGGCTGACCCATGTGAAAAAATGCGCAAACGTAGAAGATAGTGGTTTTAACTTGCATAGCTGCTGTTAGTTCATGTGGATGGAGACATCTGTTTCTTGAGTACATTGACACAGATGAACTACAAAGAGGCCGTTCAGCTATCTCCCACTGCTCTGCTGTCCTGGGGGCAACCCGTTTCTTCATTTCCCAGCATCAGCATGTGACAGGATGTCAGACACAGGTTGCTTGAGATGCTGTCAGGGTGGAGGTCTGAAAGGTCCCTCACAGGTCACATGGGGAATTAGCTCTTCCAGCATCCGTCCAGGTAGCATCATCCTTTCTTTTTGGGATGCTAAAAGCACTGAACGGTTTGTGAGCTCAGTCCTGGGCAATGGCGGTCACTGCACTGCCTTTGCCTGGAGGGATGTGAGGAGGGGGGTTACACTCAAGTTCTGCCACCCTCTCTAGCACGGCATAGCAGCAGCAGTGTGTCAGAACAACCAGAAAAAGAGATAATGGCTTTGAGATCCTCCTTCCTCCTCCACACCTCACTGCAAGATTTAGAAGGGGAAGGGGGGGAAAAAAAAAAAAAAAAAAAAAAAGGCATTGGATCCTTCAGAGATGTCTGCTCCATCCCAGGGTCACAGCACTCAAGCCAAGTGGTTGAGCCTTATCAGCGTTTAAATCCCACACAGCTCTTCTCTCTCTTCCAGCAACTCTGCTGGATTCCATTCCTTTTCTCCAAGGTCTAATGCTGGAAGCAAAGAAGTAGGAGGGACTAGGGAAGGAGGAACAGAGTCCTTTTCACCTCTCTCAAGCAGCCCGGCTAACCTCTTGTTGCTCATGAAGCATGCAGCTTGTTAGGAGAGCAAGGATGTGCACCAAGCCCATCAGGGCACTTCAGACTGCTCTCTTCTTGCAGGCCAACATCCCTTTGCACTGAGCGCACTCCATGGGGGACAGGGAAAGGAAATAAATATGCTTGTTCAAAGAAAAAAAAATTATATTAAGAGCTTTCCCCCCCTTTTAAATAGCATAATTGTTTCCTTTTCTCTCTGATGTTGGAAGAGTATCCAGAACCCCAAAAGAACTCCACTTTTTCTTTTTTTTATTTCTATATTTTTTGTATATATAAAAACTAAGAATTAAAAGGGAAAAACCCTTGAAAAATAATTAATTCCAAGGAGGGGAATTAAAAAAAAAAAAAAGAAGAAGAATATCATCTGCTTTCCTGTCACCAGATTGCCAAACAAGAGCTAAACACTCTCTGGATCTTCTTTCCCAAGCTAGGAGGGCCCCATTTCTGCTGCGCTGGTTTGGTTTCATTTAAGTAAAGTCCACGCTTTAGAAGCTGCCTGCCCATTTCAGATGACCAAGCAAGCTTTGGGGAGGAATGAGGGGGGAATGAATGACTGCCCGTCTCTCGCCCATCTCTGCCGACTGGGAGAAGGGCAGAGCTCTGCCTCGGCCGTGCCGAGGTGCCTCTCTCTTCTCAGAGCAGTTGGCGCCGTCGGATATGTACAGCCGTCTGGTTGGGATACAGGTGGAGGGTGTCTGTGTGCGTGCCCAATTGGATTTTTTTTTTTTGGTGGATATTTTTGTTATTGTTGCTGCTGCTGCTTCTTCGTGTCTAAGTGTCACCCGGATTTTTGTTTCCTTTGTTCAGACGCTGCACGTTCCAAGAGGGAGAGAGAAAGGTACACCAACCCGATGCCTTTCTGAACATCAGCCCATCTCTTTCCACTGCTTGTAGAACTCCAGAACATTTTTTATTTCTACACTGGCATTGGTGGCTGCCTGGATGGCAGACTGCAAGCAAGCAGAGACAAAACAGGTTATTTTTTTCTTGCCCTGTCAAGAAGACTGCCCTTCACAACTTGGAGATTCTCAGACAGAGTCTGTCATAGCTAAAAGGCCCAATTCTCCTTCATGCTAAAGTTGCTCTGGCATGAGAGGCTTGCACAGACATGGAAATTACTTCTCCCACCTCCCCCAGCATACTTTGCACCACAAAAGCATGACAAATCAAGGGGCCTTCAAGGAAGCAGGAATCACGACTTATAAACTACACTTGGGAAATCCAGGACAGTTATTACCCAAGGCAGAAAACATAAAAAAAAAAAAAAAAATAAAAAAAAAATCAACCAGATTTTAATCTTGCTAGGAAGCAGAAAGGCTCAGTTCAGCCAAAGAGCTACTGACCTGCATGGGCACTGAGAACGTGCTTGGGTCCTCCAGCTGAAAGCCCGTGATGATGGTAACCATTCCTGTGGTGTCATCCTCTCCACTTCCTTGGGACACTGTCAGTTGTTTGCAGCTGTCCAGTATTTTATAGAGATTCCTGTCAGACAGATGCAACAAAAAAGAAACAGAAGGGGAAGTCAGAGGAAAGACCACTCGTTTGTGCAAACAGTTTCATATATGTTCAGGAGGACGTGTGGAAAGCAGGACTGTTTCTCTGTTGCCTGTTGAGGGCTTTTCCGAGACCCTGCTTAGCACGAAGTGTTTGGTGCTACGCAAGATGCACAGACGGATGCCCTAACACTCTCTCTAGGGAATTTTCTAATTACTCATATTGGAGCACCAAATCGAGCAAGCTGCATGATGGGTCGCAGTGCCAACACCTCTCCCCAAAGCCAGCTACCTGCTGGGAATCAGGCTGGGACATCTCCAGATGCTATAATCTTACCAGGCATCTAAATCTTGTCTCTTCAGTTTATGTCTCTCAAAGCTCTTCCCAACATCCTTCTGGCAACGAATGTACCTAAGGAAAGATCAGAGTTACTGAGCTCATGCAGAGCCCATCACACAGACTGAAGTTAATGCTCTACAGCAGGTCCACCAGTTGCTGCAGGACCCTTTCACAATGCTGGCTTTTATCAACCAAAATAACACCCAAAGGCGTGCCCAAGGAATCCCCTGTGAAATCCCTTAGATCACTTTCCCTGTCTCATCACCATCGCTGTGTGCAGTTCACAACAACACAAGTGTTTCAAAGCCCACCAGCCCTGATACAGGCCTTGAAGATGCAGTTTGTCTTCACAGAAGCACAGCTGTTTGTCCTTCTACAGCTAACCTGGGCCATAATGCAGTACAGCTCTTCCAGCACTCCTAGTGCATCAGTAAAAGGTACTGCTCAGTTTTATACACTGATAAAGAAACGCAACTCCCTCCCTTCCTCAGAAGCAGCTACATTTCACAGCTGAGCAGCAACTACAAGCACATCTGGAGAACCAGCTGCCAAATCTGTTACTCCACCACCTTCCCTCTCGCCAAGTGCATTCCTGAGGCCTGGCTTTCCCTTGGCCCACTCCTCACTCTGCTCCAAGGGATACACAGCCTTTTCCCACCATTGACATTTTCTCCTACCCCAAAATACACCCATTCCAAAAGCAAGGGCAAATCGCATCACTCTCCCACTCTCACCTGTTTCCCTTTTTAAATTCTGCCTCCAGATACCGGATGCTGTCCCGAGCACCTGCGTTCTCCTTTTTCAGGAAGTCTAAGCCATCGATCACTAACAGGAAAAAAAAAAAAGAAGAAAAAACATCTGGCTTACAGCTATACTTCCGCAAACTAATCCAGATGTGTCAAGAATTCCTCATCCCACTGAACTGTCTCTGATGCATGGCAGCAGTGGCTGCCACAGGAGGCAGAAGAAGTGGAGGGTGATCAGGGCTTCTCTCCTTCCAGCTGTTCTTCGATAACTTTGTTAGATTCCAAGCATGGGCCACACATAAAACAGGCCCCAAAAGTGACATGTGGAAATGGTGTTTCAGCTGCTCCAGCTGAAGTAAAGGACAACAGCAGCAGGAGAGAAAGCCACCACCTTGGCCCGCAGGGCCTCCTAGCAAGGACGGAAGGCAGGCTCAGTTATTTGACATGGAGTCCCCATACCTGTTCGAGGGATGATGATTATGAACCTCCCGCTGGTGGCCAGCTGCTTGACAACAGCCAGGTGCTGGCAGAGAGCCTGGGTGTCCGGGACAAGATAAGGAGACATGGCTGACTGTGCTTTGGGCTGCTGGAGACTGCCCTCCAGCTGAGAAACCTCCAGCTGAAAACACACACATGCAGAGACACTTGCTTCACATTTATGCTGAAACAAACAATCAAACAGGGCAAGACTCACCCTGCAAAGCTCCATCAAGCCATTCTAACCTCCCACCACATGGAGGAGAGGACATGGTTTAGTTTAGTGGGCATGGTGGTGTTAAGTTGACGGTTGGACTCGATCTTAAAGGTCTCTTCCAACCTAAATGATTCTATGGATGCAGCCGGTAGGTCAGAGGGAGGTGATTGTCCCACTCCGTGCTGCACTGGTGCAGCCCCACCTCGAGTACTGTGTGCAGTTTTGGGCACCTCAATACAAGAAGGACATCAAACCATTAGTGTGTGTCCAGAGGAGGGCGACCAAGATGGTGAAAGGGCTAGAGGGCAAGACTTATGAGGAGTGGCTGAGGTCACCTGGCTTGTTCAACTTGGAGAAGAGAAGCCTGAGGGGTGACCTAATTGCTGAGGGCTGACTTCATCACAGTCTACAAGTGCCTCAAGGGGGGCAGCGGAGGGAGAAGTGCTGATCTCTTCTCTCTGGTGACCAGAGATAGGACACAAGGAAACAGAATGAAGCCACATCAGGGGAAGTGCAGACTGGACATTAGGAAATGGTTCTTCACTGAGAAGTTGGTCAGTCACTGGAACAGGCTCCCCAGGGAAGTGGTCACGGCACCAAGCCTGTCAAGGAGTGTCTGGACAATGCTCTTAGGCATACAGTTTAGTTTTAGATAGCCTTGCGAGGAGCAGGGAGTTGGACTTGATATCCCTATGGGTCCTTTCCAACTCGAGATATTCTATGATTCTGTCTTTGCAGAATGGACTTACTGCCTCTGTGTGGGATGGGAGCAGAGAGCTCCCCCTTCCCTTCCTAGTTTCAGACATTTCAGCCACTACCCTGCCAGTTGTCAGGCTGGAACCAGCATCTCCTACCTGCAGTCGAAGCTGAGCCATATCTCTCATTAGCCTGTTCCGACGAGCTTCCTCTGCAGCCTAGTTACAAAAACAAACTTCCATATCAGTTAGCAGGAAAGACACAAGCTGACACTAGCACATGCTTCCAGAAACAGGGTGAAAAGGGGATACCTGAGTAGCTTTAAGGATCAAAACTTTCACCTCCCACCAAAGATCTGTGATTATAGTTACAATCTAATAGTAACCTACAGGAAATTGTGCCAAGTACAGAGAATTAGTCTACCTCTGCCAACTCACCATGTGAAACTGGGCTTGGGCCTGGTGCAGCAAGTTGTCTTGCTCTGACTGTGCTATGCTGATGAAGATCCCAAGCTCTGAGTTGAACTGCAGGATGCTGCCTTGCAAGTGGGTAATGAAGTGGCCAAAGCTCCGAATGCAGCAAATCCGAACAACAGACTGCAAAGAAGCAGACAGACAATCACCAGCCATGTCTCCCCATGGGAGTCATAGCCTGAGTCAGTTCTGACCCTGCAGCTAGCTCATGCTTTTGGAAAAGGCAGAAACTGCTATTAAAAAAGATCCAAAGGAAACATTTCTGATGGAAAAGTGCTTCTGAAGACAGAAACTGCAGGAGACAGCTGCAGGAAAGCCTACAGTTGGCCAGAAGGCTTTGAAGTGCTTGCAGTCTGGGCTTCCCCAACTCCAGAAAACCTCAGAAAACATCAACAGGCTCTCCCCCATAAATCTCTGCTCAAGCCCTCAGTGCTGGGAAAAGGAATTAAATAAAACAACAATCTATATCTGATTTTGGGGCAGGCATTACTCTTGGCTGGGCTGCTGAGCAAAGGCAGCAAAAGGTGAGCTCACGTGGGATGTGAGATTGCTGCACTTTGCTCCAGCTGTCCCAGCAACTTGAGATGACATTCAAGACCTCAGCCAGCTGGACTGTGATTTAACAAACATGGGTCCCACGTCACACATCAGAGCAGTGCCCTCAAATTGAGGCAGAAGATGTTTATGTATTCCCCGCTCCAAATGAAGTGGGTTGGCCTAGCAAGGCAAGACAGGAGAACAATTGCCTTTTTCTGCACACCTCCACCACCCAGAAATGATCACCTTGGCCCTCTCTGCTTCGAAAACAGACATAAGTGCTCTACAAGGGCAGAGAGTGCCACATGAAGTGAGATTCCAGAGACTTTTGCATTTACTAGAGAAGCATCACAGAAGTATCCTGCAGCTCCAACCAAATTCCCTTCATTCAAGGTAGGCCAAAGATAACAATTCTTCTGCCCAGCCAGGGAGGTTAGGAGACTTCATGCAGCAAAGCTGTCAACATGTGACACTGCTTCCTTTCACGATGACTCTGACAGGGAAGGGAAGGCAAGGCAATTTTTTGGACACTGATTTTTGGATAAGACAGATGACTGCAGCAACCACCAAGAACATGAACCCACCTCAGACTCAAAAGTTTGGGGTTTTTTTTGGCAAGAAAGAACTAGATCATCATCTGCACAGCTAAGACAGGCTGCATCTCCAGAAAGGGAAATGCAGCTTGTGCCAAGATTCAGGATCTACCCTGACTCACCTCCTCAACTGCTGAGAAAATGGGCCGGTCCTGCTCAAAGTTAAACCTCTTGTGTGCATTTTTCAGAGGGGGAAGATTTCGCAAGGCCACATCTTCTGGTAGCAGCAAGTTGGCTTTCAGGTCTGGGAGCTCAGCACCACTCAGAATGTCCTTGACTTCATTACATAGGGCCAGCCCTGGAGAGGATGGATGGGAAGCACAGCAATATATGGTGACTTATGTGGGGACAAAGAAGAAAGCTGCTTTAAGGCACACAATCTGTAATGATCAAGGGCAGAGGTTCTACATTACACATGTACTGTGAGCGTGTGTTGAAGGAGGAACAAAAAGGCCACCCACAATATAGAGAGTAACTGTCCCAAACAACCTGCTCGGTGCACCATTTCAGAAAAACTGTAGTTAGCTAAAGGTTAGCTTTCCCATTTGTTCCAACAGACAAGCATCCCTGTTTGAACTGTGCTTCTCATGAACCATGGGGATCTTTAGGCTGAGGTACAGGGCACACCACAAGCATTTGGAGCTTCAAAACTAGTTTCCACGACTGCCGTGACAAAACCATACCCTTACTTACGGTCTTGACAGTTAATTCCAATCAGGTTGGCCACACACAGACTTCACATACACAGGTGTGAGTGTTGCAGTATGCTGTCAGCCATATATAATGTATTAGTAGAACTAAAGTCTACAGGACAGTATTCAGCTGGAATGCTGTTTAAACACAAAACCAACACATGCACTATATTGCTTCCCATTGTGCTCATACACAAACTGCTACTGGCAAATGTCTCAGCCCGGGATCTATCATACACCATGGAAATCACTGATGACTAGGCTTGCTGAAACATTACATTGCCACTTTGTCCTCCAGTACCTGATTCCTGCAGGTCTGCAGCAGAAGGCAGAAGGTTCAGGAGCACAGACAGCCTGTTCCACAGGCTCTGAGAGCTCTGCAGGAACAAAACACAAAAGGCCACAGATAATGTCAAGTCACGTGTACGCAATAAGCAGGCCGCTTGGGTTTTCCAGCATCTTTCACAGACCTCAGAAGAGTAAACTTCAAAACACTTCTTAGGTCAAGATTATCTTAATTCAGCTGGCTGGGTATTTAACATCATCTTCTGTCTAGGACTGGGGACAGTAGCTTCAATATCCCCTTAACATCCCATCCCAGGGGAACGGAACAGACGCAGCCTTGCACCAAACACCAAGCACAGTTCCCACCTGAGCACACATGATGATGAGGTCTGTGTTTGTCCTCAGCCAGTCCAGAAACACCTTGACAGTGAGAAGCAGCCCTTCGTTGGTCACGATCTCTAGCTTCTCCTGAAGGGACCGCTCATTCCTGCAGGATTTGTTACTTGAAATGCTTTCCTCAGAGTCAGATACATCATCTGGAAAAGGAAGGCAAAAGCAGGATGGCAGGCATTAAACCCCTTGAGAAGTCAAGCCCTACTGGTATGAGAACAGCACTGGCTTAGTAAGAGTTGAATTGAACTTATCGGTGCCTCCACACATCCTCACAAAACCAGTTCCCTGTCCCCTATGCTGCTGATAAGAGTGTATCACTGTTGCATTTTCTTCTTTGTTGGGAGAAGATAGCTAAAATCTCCCTGTGAAGGTTTTACAATGCCTTAAGCCCTGCAGCAGCCTCTGAGATGCTCACTAACAGAGCAGGGGGAAGCAGCATGTGCTGGCACAAGGACCATATAATTTACTGCAGAGAACAGGGCCAGCAATCACTGTTTAGGTCAACGTGCACCAGTCTTCAGGCTATGCAAGAGAAGAAAATGGTAGGGCTATTTTATGACCCAGGGCCCAAGTGATTTTAAATACTGAATATGCTTTGCAGTAATTCTACAGACCTGAGGATCTCAAAGCCACTGCCAATGGAATTGCACACTAGCTACACGAGTGACCTGAGGTCAAGATAGCAGCAAGCCAGGAATGAACGATGCATTTTGCTACAGTCCCTTATCTATCTGGACTTGTGCAAACCATTTGACATTGTCCCACACAACATCCTTGTCTCTGAATTAGAGACATGGATTTGACAGATGGACCACTCGGTGGATGAGGAATTGGCTGGCTGGTTGCACTCAAAGACTTGTGGTCAATGGCTCGATGTCCAAGTGGAGACCTGTGATGAGTGCTGTTCCTCAGGGGCTGGTATTAGGACTGGCACTGTTTAACAACTTTGTTGGCGACATGGACAGCGGGATTGAGCACACCCTCACAAAGTTTGCCGACAACACCAAGCTCTGTGGTGTGGTAGACACGCTGAGGGAAGGGACGCCATCCAGAGGGACCCTGACAGGCTTGAGAGGTGGGCCTGTGCGAACCTCATGAAGTTCAACAAGGCCAAGTGCAAGGTCCTGCACATGGGTCAGGCAATCCAAGCACAAATACAGGCTGGGCGATGAGTGGATTGAGAACAGCCTGGAGCAGAAGGACTTGGGGGTGTTGGTTGATGAGAAGCTCAACATGACTCGGTGATGTGTGTTTGCAGCCCAGAAAGCCAACCATATCATGGGCTGCATCAAAAGAAGCGTGACCAGCAGGTTGAGGCATGCAATTCTCCCCATCTACTCCTCTCGTGAGACCCCACTTGGAGTACTGTGTTCAGCTCTGGGCCCCCCCAACATAAGAAGGACATGGACCTGTTGGAATGAGTCCAGAGGAGGGCCATGAAGATGATCAGAGAGCTGGAGCACCTCTCCTATGAAGACAGGCTGAGAGAGCTGGGGTTATTCAGCCTGGAGAAGAGAAGGCTCCAGGAAGAGCTTACAGCAGCCTTCCACTACCTAAAGGTGGCCTACAATAAAGCTGGAGAGGGACTTTTTACAAGAGCATGTAATGATAGGACAAGGAGTAATGGCTTTAAACTGAAAGAGGGTAGATTTAGATTAGAGATGAGGAAGAAGTTCTTCACAACGAGGGTGGTGAGGCACTGGAACAGGTTGCCCAGAGAGGCTGTGGATGCCCCCTCTCTTGAAGTGTTCAAGGCTAGGTTGGATGGGGCTTTGAGCAGCCTGGTCTAGTGGAAGGTGTCCCTGCCCATGGCAGGGGGGTTGGAACTAGATGATCTTTAAGTTCCCTTCCAACCCAAACCATTCTATGATTCTATGATTTGAATTGCACGGTCATTTCTGCCTATTAGCACAGCAATTATCATTCAATAAACCCTCAGAATCAAAAGGGAGGAAGTAACTTATTCAGAAACCACCCCTGACAGAGTGTTAAGACCATTAAATAGCTCAAGTTTTGAAACAGCACAGCTGAGGCAAGGAGAGCTCAAACCTAAAAATCACATGGGTTAATTCATTCAACCTGGCTCAATCAATCTCTCATTTTCTACATCTATAAAGGTATCATGGCCACATTTTTCAAATACATTCCTGGAGCTGCAACATCTGGGTAACCCATTGAAAGAAAATGTTAAACAGACCAAAAAACATTTGTTTCTTCCTTAACCCTCATCTCTTTCAAGTGGCTATGAAGCAATGCCGGGAGCCAGTAAACATTAACATGATCTAATACTCCCACTTCAAATCCTGGCCCAGGCAAAGCCTGAACCTTGCCAGTCTGCAGGCCCATTGAATTTGGCAGCATGATGCAAAAATGTTTCCTTGCTCCAGGGAAGCTGGGAGGAATGACAAACAAGACCGAACAGGCCCATGTGGTTTTATCTGAAATACAAACAACTCCCTGTAGTGCATCACATCTCCCTTTCAAGCTGTTTTTTCCCAGAACATTACTGAGTTGTGTAAGTTGCATGGTAATAGAGACATTGCAGCTCCACCTGCTGTGCATCTGCAGTTTGGTTCAACCCTGAGCACTCAGCAAGCCAGTGTTCAGAGGGTCACAGAAATAGGCCCTCAACTCCTCTCGCATGCACCTAGGTCACATCTTACAGACAAGCTCCTATGAGAGCTTTGCAGAGTTGACAATCTGCCATCTCATGGAGAACTTCCTGGACTGCATCTGCACTGTCCGTCACCAGAAGCACTAGTAAGTGTCTGATTACAGAGATTTCACATGGGAAAAAGGAATATAATCCAAATTTTTAATACCTGCTGGAATTATCTTCTGTATTATCAGAGCTGCTCAGCATTTAGCTGGTTGAGCAGAACAACAGATAACCCTGACCAGTTGCAGGTGTTTCCTTTGCTCAGCACACATATTCCTGGATGTCAGGCAGTAAGAGTAAAGCTCCTTCAGGAAACACCCAACCCAAGACCTGCCCAGGACTTGGGCAACCTGCTCTTCCAAACCTGGCCAAAGGAGAACTTGCACCATAAGATGGGGAGGGGTTTTAGCAAACAGACTCCCACAGCTTGCAGTTTTCTACACAGAACCGCAACAACAAATATTTTGAACGAGGTCACTGATCCTTACCTTGCTCCACCAAGCTGGGCTTCTCCAGATCTCCATTGACACATGGCTTACTTTCTATTCCATCCTTCAAGACGCGTGGTTCACTGTTTGGTTTCAGAAGGATGTTGCTGAAAGTGGGAGCCAAGCGAAAGCAGCGTTTGGTCTGAAACAGCTGGGTGGACATGGCCTGGAGATTACTGGCTATGCTTGCATCATTAGTGCTCAGGGAAGCTGGCCCATTGACTGCTGGATCTGGAGCCTCAATTTTAGAGATGCTTGGGCCCTTGGAGTCCCCCAGCCCACTGCCATCCACACAGTTTTTTAAGGCTTCTTTGGGCCCGCTTTTGCCTTGGCCGCTTCCCTCCTCACCTGGCTCATCCTCCATGTCCTCCAAGTCGGACCGAGATTCTTGGCTGTTCATGTCAGAGTCCGTCTCCACATCAAAAGCAGCTTCTGCTTCCTCATCACTCTTCTCTGAGCCACTTTCTGAGCCATCACTGCCCTTTATGGAGCCCTGGCTGGAGTCAGAGTCAAAGCCCTCACTCAGGTCACTCTCATCCACCTTCTGGGGGTGGCGACGGCGGCGCAAACAGGAAAGGCGGGAGTATTTCTTGCTTTTCTTGCAGTCATTCTTCCGTTGTTCCTCACTGGGCTGATGATTGGCCAAATCAGCTTCAGTTTCCTTCTCAATTGAGTTCAATGGCTCCCGCAGCTCCTGGTCATCTGCAGGCATTTGAAATGAGACCACAAGTTAAGAAAGTCCCAATGTGTCACACAAGCTGCTTGCCAGCCCTGAGCCTGGGGAAACAGTAGTGCAATTTCAGCCATCACTTCTATTAGTGTCTTTAACCAGAGAACAAGTAATGGCAACCCTAGAAGAATGACCCATTTTCTAAAAGGCAACCAGAAAGACTTGGGAAGCCTGGATTCCTACTGCCCAAGCTGTGCTGCTCCATTATCAGGCAGCCTCAATGCTGAATGCTGCTAGACCAGCACAAAATACACAGTTGAATCTTAAACCTTTTCCCCAGCTTCCTATAGTCTGAGAGCCAAGTGACCCCCCAAGCAGGGCAAGGGCACATGCCAGTCAGCTTGATTAAACCAGCCACTCCACCCTGTAACTAGACTGAGCTGACCTAATCCCTTCCTTGACCAACATGCTCACAGCCTTTCCAGCAGCCCTATGTCACCCTGACAGCTTCAAAACCTATACAGGGGAGGAGTCATTCATTGTTGCTTTTGACCAGGAAAACTCTAGGCTTGCACTCTGTGAAATATTACAAATCGACTGTTTGCAGGGGAAAGATTCAGAAGTTTTAGTCTCTGCTCAACACGATCTCCCAGAAGCTAACAATCTATTTTTGTTTGAGCAGAGATGAGGTATGCTGAGCCGGGCCTCCCTCCCTTAGACACAGCTCTGCCCAGGTGTTTCACCTGAGATCATCTCCTCAGTGGAGAAGAGAGTCCAGTAAATAACAGCGAATAGAGAGACAGAAAATAAGGAGCACGCATTGGGGTAAACAGATGATGAATGAGCTGCCAAGAGATAGAGAAAGATAACTCCTTACAGCAAGGAAAGCAAAATTTTCATCCTGTGATAATTCTGATACTCACAGAGAGCATCTAAGTGGACACTCTCTGCAGATTACGCATCTTTGGGGATTTCAGCCAGTCAAACATCAAGATGACTCTAACACCACTCAGGCACTATACTACAAAACCCATGCCCAGGAGATTTCGGGAAGAAAAGTAAAAGCCAGCCCTATAGGCAGGCAGCTGGGAAGACCCAGCTTATACTGTCTCTGTTCTCTTACCTGTGCCATCACTCTGAAAGGCTGGGACTGGATTTTCCCCTTCTTCTAGCTCTGCCTGCAGGCGAATATTGACGTGATTTATCAGGTGAGAGAAGAGGGCCAGCGTGAAAGCGATGGCTGCACTGTACTGCTTTGAACCTGCACGCAATAAGACAGTGTAATGAGGTGGAGGAGACTGACCACTAGTTCAGAACATGAACGCCAATTAAGACAACATCTTCAGCCTAACTGGACTGCTGAATGTTAATCACTAAATTTCTGAATGGCTGAATAAAGCACTGGTTACCTGCCCTCTTGAGGCTGTGAACACTCATAAGGCAGATGATCACCATGCGAAAGATCAGGAGATCAGGAAGGAAGGAGTAGCCACTCTCATACTCTTCTTCATCTTCACTAGTTGAGCTCAGATTAGGAGGAGAGGGCAGGTAGAACAAGCACAGGTTGAAATCCTCCAGCACAGACTGGCAGAGAGATGTCAGCTCAGAATCCAGAGAGCTTAACAAAAGGAAGAAATAAACAATAATTATTATTCGAGACTCAAGCTCCTGGCAGTGGAAACGGAAGCAAAACTGGCAGTTAGGCTATCCTTTAGCACTAGACAGGATGAAGCACCAGGGAATATACTGCAGGCAACGACAGCTATGGGAAGCAAGTGAAATTAATCAGATTATGTTTTCCTCTCCAAAGCTGCTAAATTAAAGACAAATAGTAACCACAGCATCTCCCTTCGAAGAAATGGGTCACCAAAAAATATATGACTTCTTCCCTGGGAGCTCAGGCAGTAGCCATCAAGACACACAGCACTTCAAAGCTAAAGGTAGCAAAAGTTTCAGATCCACTGCTCAGTTAAAGGATGACAATGCAGCGCACAAACTGGGGACTCAAGTTTTCCTCCTCCCATGTCTCTAACTTGCAGCCCTGTAAGAATATTCCAAAATCCTCTGTAGCTCTTAGCTACTTCAAAGGAAGCACTCACAGTATTCAGTATAATCGGTGATGGGAGTCTCCTAGTTACAGAATAAACCTGTCTGCAAAACATCTAGCAAATCCTTTTCAGGGGGCAATGTGCTTGGGAAATGGAAGTAATTTCCAATTTTGTTATGCGCTAAATATGTGTTAAGCGGATATCAAATCAGCCTGGAAGTTCCACTCTGGTATAAGTCAGTATCTGAAAGCTAATCCCATACTGGGCTGCATTAGCAAGCGCACAGCCAGCAGGTTGAGGAAAATTATTATCCCTCTCTATTTGGCATTCACAAGATGACATGTGGAGTACAGCATCCGGTCTTGGGGTCCCCAGTACAAAAAAACCCAACCAAACAAAAAGACACCGACAAACTGGACTTCGGGGGAATAGAGAACGTGACGTATGAGAAGAGACAAAGAGAACAGAATTTGTTCAGCCTGAAAGAAAGAAGGCTCGGGGGGTATAACCTTCTGTTTTCAGGTGCCAAATAGGTGGTTACAGAGGACTAAGAAAGACTCTTCTCAGTGGTGCATAGCAAAAGGAAGGGAGGTGATGGGTACAAGCTGCAGAAAAGGAAAATGAGACTAGATGCAAGGAAAAAAAAATTTCCACAGTGAAGGCGGTCAAACACTGGAAAGGGGACCACAGAAATGTCAAATCTCTGTCCTTAGATCCATTCAAAACTCAGCTGGTTGAAGCTCTGAGCAACCTCATCTGACTTCACATTTTAATCTATCTTCACAGTGGACCCTACTTTGGGGGAGGACTGGACCCCTAGAAGGTCCCTTCCAACATAAACTATTCCACGATGAGTTTAACTGTAGCCTGTGTATAAGCCCTTTAAAACACCTGCTCTATTTCAAGCAGTAAGAGTTTTATTTACAATCACCTGAAAGGCTCCTAGCAGAGACAAAGAAAATCCAAGGAAAAAAAAAAAAATCACACAGCTGTACAAAGCTTTCCTATTCTAACATGAACAGGTTATGCTATTTGTTTCTCCAAACAAGGTATTTGGTTACAGATTTCCAAATGCAATGAACAGCCCTGCACACATACAGACAGTGACTCTTTGCTGTCCTGTCAGCCTAAATCCAGTCCTTGCCAGGAAAAAGCATTTGATGACTGAACAGGGCAAGGCTGCAAGGCTCCAGAGTTCAACATTCACTCAGCTACTGGCTTGATTTAGCCAGAGTCGCAAAGTATTTAACCTTTTGGTATTTCAGCCTCCCTTGGATGACAATCTTCTTCACTCTCCCTGCAAGGTTAGAAGACTAAAGTCTTGGACCTTTTGGCAGAAAGCCTCAGCACAGGCACTGTTGTCCTACATGGAACAGTCTCTTCCAATTCAGAATGCCTGCTACTGTGAGTTATCAATAGAAGATATTATCTGCCGTAACCTTACCTGCTCTTTGGCTGCAAAAGACTCTGCAGGTACATAAAGCTCACCAGCAACCTCTTAATGTCTTTGCCTCTAAAAAGATTGAGAAGAAAACACTGTAAAGCAGGTACCCCGTCACAGAGATGGACTAGACTAACAAACCTCTCTTAATAGGTAAATCAGGTCTCAATTGAAAACTACATTCTGATGAAACTGGAGAAAAAAAGACAGCTTATACACTTCTAACTTTCACCAATATACCTCAACCGTCATGAACAGTCACCAGCTCCAGGGGAGAGTAAGAAAATCTCTCACCTCAAACTCTACACCTAGCCAACATTTAGCTTTTCTCCTGAAATTATGACCTGAGAGATCAAGAATGGGATCTAGACTGGGGCTCTCAAAATTCTGGGAACAGTCACTGCCTCAAATGGGCCATGTACCAGTTCCCACTTCCCAGAAAGACACTACTCTCAACCCAGAGGATGACACTGGTGGCATTGCAAACCCTCAGCCTGCACCCCTCTCCTTTTCTTTTCCCTATTACCGCTTCTTGCTTGGAGACAACTTCCTGGTTTCACATTTCTTCAACTGATGATACATTTTGGCTGCTTTGTCATACAGTCGCTTCAGGTTCCCATAGGCACCTTCAAAGGACACTTCAGACTGGATACTGAGATACCAAAATAGAACACATCAAAAGTTACTTTGCCACATTTTATGGCTTTAATTCACTAGAAAGTTATTCAGGCATCTAAGCATGAAGACAGGTACCTAGTGCTTTTGTTTGAACATGCTGGGATACTTAACTCCCACTGATGTCTTCAAACCCCACTTCAAGCTGCACCACAGCTCCATCTGCAATGTTTACATACCTTTTCAAATTTGTGCCTTAAGGCCATGTTCAGATAACTGAATTCCACCTACCTCACTAATCGAGGTGCCTCACTCAGCACCTCTACTCCCCATCAAACTTGGCTCTCAAGCACAGGCAGAGGGTCTCAGTGCAGCCCTGCACATGTATTTTAGTGACCAGCATGATGGTTTGGTTTGACCAAGGCTCGCTCTTATTAGCAGTCCTGCTCAAGGGTGAAATAAACCCATCTCTCTTCCCCCTCCCCTGAAACTCATCTGCTGAAAACAGTCAGAAGTCCAAAGTAAAGGAGAAAAGAATCTGGCACCAGCAATCACAGTGCACTGATTCTTTGTCCAGGAAGCCAAGATGTTCACAGACACTCACCAGCGTAAGTAGCAATAGGTAGCTTCCACATTGTAGTATTTGCTCCCTGCCAATGTCCCCAGCTGGTTAAAGGGCATGCCTGTCATGAAAGAGAGGGGCAATAGAATTAACTTACAATTCTCCAATGGCCCTACTAGAAAGCAGATCCTTTCTCTCTCACTACATTTCCACACAGAAGGGAAGCCAGGAGACACAAACAGCAGTAAAGCTGCAGTACATAGGTCTGGACTACTCGATCCTTTTGCCACCCAGGTTCTTCTGTCTTATAGTGCTTTTAGATCCTCCCCACTTTCCTGCTAGTTAGCTACATAAGAAAGCAGAGCATACAGTGCCTCCTCCTCTGCATTGATAATGCCATGGCCTTGACTCTGTATTCCTCTTGACATAGACATCACCTTATCAGCATTTAAGAGTTCTGTTCCAGCTCAGTGTGGTACATAAATTTTTATCACTTATTGGTATTTGGGATCAGCCTGTCAAACAACTCAGTGACAACTCTGTAAAGACAGCACAGAGAAAACGTTTTTCTGGAATTGCATACTTTTTAAGATAAGACAGGCCCTCACCTCTTGCCACAATGTATTCTCATAAGGTAGTCATTTCTGAAGGAGAAAGCAGCATGTGAGATTTTTTTGCAGGGGTAAAAAGAGGGAGATGACCAATAATGCTCTGCTTCTGGCAACAGACAGCTGGATCTTCCCTTAGCCAGACAAGCACAACTTTACCACATTCATGGAATTCTGAGATTCTCAGAGGTTATCATATGAGTAAGCTGAAGTCATTGGCAAAGAGCACCTTTGTTTTAACTCCTCTCTTTGGCTTGCTAGCAAGAGAGATTCTCAAAGAAGGAAGTAGTTTTAACCAGAGGATAAAACCACTCCTCTCTCAGCAGCAGGACATAAACCTGACCAGCGTAGTATCACAGAGTATTGTTTTTAGGTTGCAGCAACATGATTTCAACAACTAAAAACTCATGGTAACTCACTCACCAATTTGTGGTGCAACAGAAAGGGCTTGATAGTAAAACCGCTCAGCCAGCAACTCTGTGTCCACACCTGCCAGTTCATTCTGATAGCGAGCTGAAAGAAAACCACACACCGCACATCAGAAACCAGAAGGCAGTGTCTTGTCTTCCCTTCTGCAGAGAAGCACAGTTTCCCTACAGATTAAAAATACCACAAAACTAGAAATACTGGCTAAGTCAACAAATCCATCAAAGAACCGCTCTTGGCAAACACAGAAATGTACAGAGTTTGCCAGGCCTGTCTGAAGCACTTCTATTTTAACTGCACTATTCCACACATCACAACCCCTGCCACTTCAAGCAAAGGGGATATCCCTCAACACTTGTGGCAGCCTGTAAGCAAAAGTAAGAAATTCTTCTGCTCCATGTGTTAAGTGCTGATTCATTTATCCTTGAAATAACTCAGAATTGTGCTCCATTTTCCAGTACCTCAAACAGACTATATACTACTACTGCAGAGTGTGAAATCTAAAGCAAGTCAGTTGACCTAATAAAATACCTGGCTGTGGCTAGACTGGACTTATATTAATTTTTTTTTTTTTTTTTTTTTTTTTGTGGACAACAGTAGGCATTTTGGAAACCTTAGGTGAAAGCATTGTGAAGAGGTGAACACGTTTCTGTCCCACCAGTCAGGTAAGTCATTCTTACTACCCACATAAGGCATTTATCTGCAATGCCATTTTTAGGCTGATTCCTGTGCAACGATAATGCCAAACAGCTTTCAAGAGCTTGAAGGCTGCTGCATGTCAAGCACATTTACCCATGCCTCACTTCAAATAGCTGTTTTTCACACAGTTACATGTTTTCTCACTGTCTTCACTCCCACATGTTCACAATCAGGCAAGAAGCTGACACACTTACCACACACTTCAGGAGGTCGTGACTGTGGGATAGACATGTCTGCTATAAAAAGGATGACACGCAGCCAGACACAATGACAAAGAATCTGGGGCTTTGCAGTGGCCTACCACTCTGGATGGATTCACAATATTGCTTAACAAATCTGATTTTCAGTCACACTTGTGCTGATGACAGTGGCTCCGTAAGGCAACCTTAAAGCAAGTCTGAACTGAGAAGTCAGCTCACTTTGAGTTTCCTTCACACTGTCCAAACAACATAAATAAAAGCAAAGACTTCCATTCTTACACAGCCACAGATACAGCTGTTTATCAGTAGCAAACTCCTCTACTTGCCCAAAAACAAAGCTTCTGCAAGTTGTAGCAGTTCAGTTACCCACAAGGATTTCAGCTTATACCAGTCATTGACAAATGTGTCAGAGGGAAACCAGTGTCTGCAAGTAACTATGGCTGGTGACTAACAACGATGGACTCAGCACTGCACAGGCACCATCTTTTTAATGTATTAAAGGTTGCCCTGAAAGACGATGCTGTTCTTACCTAGATCTCCCAGATAAACCAGACATCTGTGACATGCCATCTGTGCCCACTCCATCTCCTTCTCCGATGCAGACACAGGTTTCTTGCAGCCTACATGAGAAATATGAAATCACATACACCAGTGGGTAGAGGCTGCTGGAAAGACACATGAGCAGCCTACACCTCTGCCTGAGACAACCAACATTTCATGGAATGAAAACAAAGACCACATGGTCAGACCACACTGTTGGCTGCCATCTATAGCATGTTATAGACCAGCACTGGATCACTCTTGTCAAAATGTGGAAAATAAATGTAGAAAATACATGTAGATGCTGATGCTCACCCACTCCCCCTTCAAGTTCCCCGCTGATTAGGGGCAGTGCATATCACTGTATCACTAACAGTCACTGAAATGACTGTCACTCAGACTTTGTCTACAAGGTATGCCACAGAGAGCTGGCTCCATTTGCACTCAGATGAGAGGACAAAGGCCAATTCCTGTCTACAAGCCATGTGATCGTGTTAACACAGCATTGAGTACAAGCTAATAAGGCCTGTCGAGAGGCTGATTTTGTTAGCATGGCTAATGAGGCCTTTGGATAGGAGCCGGCACAAATCCCTGGAAGCTAGAACAAAGTCTGAGCACACTTGCACCTGGCAGTAGCATACAATGTGGATGTACCCTCCCCAACGCTGAAGATGGAAATAAACTCATTGTCTCAAGACTGAGATCTAGATTTAGGACGGGCCAACCAAAAAGGGAGGAAGATAAGTAAAACAAGGAAAAATCAGGACAGCAAATCTGTGTTGTAGACAGAGCAGCTGCAGTCAGTTAGGAAGAACTGCCTCCAGACAAAACTGCCTTTGCATCCAGACGAGGGCAACAAAGCTGGTGAAAGGGCTGGAAGGAATGTCCTATGAGGAGCAGCTGAGGCCTTTGGGCCTGTCTAGTTTGGAGAAAAGGAGGCTGAGGGGCGACCTCATTGCTCTCTACAGGTTCGCGAGGAGGAAAAGTGGAGAGGGAGGTGCTGACCTCTTCTCCCTGGTATCCAGTGATAGGACACGTGGGAATGGTTCAAAGCTGTGTCAAGGGAGGTTTAGACTGGACATTAGGAAGCATTTGTTTACCGGGAGGGTGGTCAAACACTGAAATGGGCTTCCTAGAGAGGTGGTTGATGCCCCAAGCCTGTCAGCATTTAAGAGGCATTTGGACAATGCCCTTAATAACATGCTTTAACTTTTGGTCAGCCCCGAATTGGTCAGGCAGTTGGACTAGATGATTGTTGTTAGGTCGCTTCCAAGTAAAAGTCTAGTCTAGTCTATTCTATACTTGAACTTACAAAAACAAACAAAAAAACCCCAACCAAACAAAAAAAAGGCAGTTCAGGCAGTGGAAAGTGTCAAAAGCAACAGAGGAAGGCTCCAGGCAGCTGATCTGAACTAACTTAAGCCACCAAACATGACTCAGTTCCTGGGAGGGGCTGCTGCTGGGAAGATCGTGCTTCCCAACTCCCCATCAGCACCTTCTCAGCCAGCAGGGCCATGGTTCAGCCAGAGATCAGGAGGCAAAGGCTACTGCATTCACGCTTCCTCTCCAGAGAGCACTTACTGCCACTGGACAGACCAGTGTCATGGATTCAGTCTAGGTACAGTCTTCCTGTTGCCAAGGACTTCCACCTTCTGGAGGAGAAAATTCCCTCAAGCAGGAATCCCAAAAGAAGATTTTTAAGACCAGTCCAGCCTGCAGTCTGAGTTGCTTCCCTCTTGGCTTAGTTTAAAAGAGTGGAAGTGAAATCTGTAGGCTTAAGTGACCAGTGAGGAATGATTCCCACTTACTAACAGGCATTGTAGGAGTTGCATTATACAAATACATGGCCTTCAAATCTGTGTCCACATATGCTATTGGACCTATCCTCCTTTTCTTTTTTGCTTTGAATCCTCTTGCTCCCATTTACATAACCATCAAGTTGTGTCCACCCTAATTTGTAGTTCATATGGGATTCTTACACATCCACTTTTCCGGATATGTAAGGTTACATCTCTACTATCCAGTTACATACTCGTCTACTGCATCCTTTTAGAGAGCCTAAACACATTAAGAAACCTGAATAAGGGAAGCCTTTCAAATGCAATCATACACCACAGGGTACAAACCCATCTGGAATGCGCATTTCAAGAATTTATTAATTCTGCAGTACTGAGATACATTTCTCAAAGCAACAGTTGCCGGGGACATCTGCCTTTTAAACCAACATTTCAAAGCCGATCATGATACAATCGTCTCCCGGAACGAAGAATAGGATACCAGCAACTAAAACATTCTATCGCTAAAGACATACTAACTTCTCATATGCCAGTTTCTGCTGTCCTCCCCCCTGCCAGCTTTAAGAATGTCAATTAAACACTTGCTAATACAGTTCACAAAACATATAGAGGCTCCATTTCTCCCCTGGACCCACCCAAACAGAAACATGTGCCTTGAGGCCACAGAGCACAACCCAGGAGCAAATGTGAGCAAACTATTACAAGTTAATCGAGGATGTGAATCCATATGCAGCTTTGAGCTGTTTCAAGACTGTAAACACTGTTATTCTTCCTCCCCTAATAGGTAAGATACCTCAAATTACCCTGCATCTAACGGCATGCACAGAGGCAGTTACCTGAGACAGCTAACATACCTTATTGTGTTACAAGAGCTTCCTCATGTTCTCAGTCCAAGATTCAATAGCAGTTTCAAAGCTACACACAGTACAACTAGGAAGTACGTGAAGGGAGCACAGATAAAAGGGGCACCAAGAGGAGGAACAATATCTTACATCTAGTGAATAGAATGTCCTGACAAAAATCTGTTGATTTCAAGAACCTATTCCCCCAATGGCCTGTTCGTCTGCTTTAATCAAGCTTTTAAAAACATTCTGTACAGCCAGAAGTGCTCTTCAATTTTCCATAAAAATCTGCCATCACCAAACACTTAGTAAAGAATTTCCTAACAGCATTTTCTTCCTGTTAGAAACCCTTCTTTCTTCCCTAGTTTAGTATTAAAAAAAACCAACAAAACAGTGCCATGGAAAACTGAGCAGGAGAGACAGTCTGTTCTAAACAGACAAGTGGCTCATCAGAAAAAAGAAAAAAAAGATAATCCCTTAAATGCCGAAACAAAGATGGACTAGTACAAGGGGAAGCCACCTCTCTGGGATTCAGGCCTTACCCACTAGTCCAACACACTGAGCACTAACCTATTAGAGGGTCCGTTACGTGCGTCCAGTCAATACAGCACTGCAGCTCTAGCTGATAGTGAGACTGAATGTAGAGGAGAAGGTGCTGGTAAAATCCTATGCCAGCAACTAAGTGAGTCCGGTACGCACACTCCAGAGTGCTACGACTGTGAATGTGCTAGAGGGAAGAAAAAAATGAGAATATGTTAATGCAGTCCAGGTAACATTTTAGGATGGCCACCCAAGTAATACCAAGTATGAAGCAAGATAGTGGGTAGCTCAGCAGTAATTGTTTTTGCACAGTTCTATACCTCCTCTTGCTCAACAATGTTGTATCTACTAGTATTTACTAAGGGTCAACATCAAGGAGAAATACTTGCTGCAACAACAAATAAATAAAATCAAGGTGTCTGGTTAGAGCACCTTAAACACATTCAGACAACCAGATCACCAGGAGAGAGTTTATGGTGTTAGAAAATACAGGCGTGAATACTGTGAGTATTTTCCAGTGATCAAATCCAGTAAAAACAATCAGCACTGACAAAGCCTCCTATGACCATTGTTCTACATGGTGATACATGTCTTTTGAAGATGGGAAGACAAAAATTGAGCAAATTATGTTGAAATATCCTCTGCAATAGCAGCTCTCTCAGCAGATCATTAAAGCTTACCTGCCCACAGCTAGACAAAAAGTGTATGTTCAGCTCCATGATTAAAATTCAGGAGTGCCTGGCTTCCTGCCCTGTGGTCAGACAACTTCTCCAAGCAAATGAAGCTTTTAACTTGGTCTCACCCATTGCACAGCCAGAGACTTTCTCATGCCAGAGACATAGATACCTGCCTTTTTATTTGTTTTAATGAGCTGGATAACTTCATAGTAAACTTTTCTCCAAAGCAGTTCTTCTGCTTTTCTTCCATAATCCACTGGATGCAAGAACATCAGCTTCACACACAACTCCCGCAGCCTGAGAGAGACAGCAGAGAATTCACATTTAGCTACAGGAGCTTCAAATACAGCTGCCACTACATGAGCACGGAAGAGGAAACTCTGAATTCATTATGATGGATGAGCTAGGCTATCTGGTGATGGTACAGCTTGTATCACTCCCACACAAGAGCATCTGGAAAAGCCATACACCTAACCAGTTACTTTGGCTCAGCTGGCCACCAGTAACTTCCTAAATTGCAGTAATGTCAAGAATTGTCTTGAAAGCTTAAAATATTACTAAGAATAATCATCCTTGCTAGGCACCCTCTGAACCTGGTAAAAGACTTCACACACATATAAGAAGTTTCTTCACCACACAGTTTTTTTAAAGATAGTTACAAGGAAGGCATTGGCCAACATGAAGATGACTTATTTGTATTACAAGGACACTCAGGAAAGCCTCCAGACATGGACTGTATGGTTAGGTGCTGTTCAAATACAGATCTGAAATCTAGCCTCTGCTTAAAAAACCTGGAGGGATCCCAGGTCAACAGGTGCACTACAAATCAAATACACCGTGGAACTGCAGATTCAAAACCTCCACCTGTTGCTTCACGTGGATTTTCTCCAGCCAAATATAAAAAATAAGCGCCCTTCCCAACTTACTTGTTCCTCAAGCTGATGTTCTCTGGCTTGAACACTTCTTGATACGCTGCCTTATTACCAAGGATGAGATCCAATCGATGAACAGCCTCTACCACTGCTCTGCAAGCCAACACAGAAAGAAGACTTTCAGAATAGCAGGTTATCTGGGATTATTTCATGAGACATAGGATGTCTGCACAGACCCATACTAGCCTAGTTAATTCCATTATTAGCAAGCTGCATTATACCACCACACCATATTAATTGATTTCCTTTCTGCAGTCTATTTTAAAAAGCTTATGGAAAGAAGAAGAAAGCAGAGTTACATACACTGTAATGATTTTGCTGCAAATCAGCTTTTTAATCACCAATTACTACTGCCTGTCTGATCAAAAACATCAGTTATTTCTATAGTAGCAAAGTCAGAAATGTCTTTGGACATGTTACCAACTTTTAACCTCTGCAATTAAATCATGCTATACTTACACTCAGATTAATTTAAACATCTTAAACTCTATGAATAAAAAATGGATTGATTTCTAGCAGGTACCATTTTGATAGGGTAAGAGTCAAACCTCCACCAATTCCTATTTCCTTACCGACTCGCCTATAAAAGAAGGCAACTCATGTCATTCTCATTTGCCAAAACTTCCGGGGCTTCATTACAGTGACTCATTGACCAAAGCCCTTAAAGACCTCTCAGTGACAGGTAACAGAGATACTCAAAACCAGCCTAAAATATGAAATTTGTTATGAGACTTCCCCCTGAAAGCCAGCTAAAAGACAGACCAAGCAACCCCCAAACCTCTGAGTCATGCAAAAAAATACTTCTGTGAATCACTGCCCAAGACTGTCCTGGAGGAGGAATACCACACTGTATATAAAATCTCAAGCACTCAAAAGTTTGTAGCTGTGAACAAAGCAGACCACAACTCCAGAACACTGCAGTGAAATAAAACCAGGGACCTACAGAAGCATTAGTGCTGACAGAAAGTACCCTCATCAATATCTCATGGACAGTTCAATAAAGCCAAATCGACCAGCCACATTAAATCCTTCCTACCAAGAGAGGTCATGTCTAAACCTCTGCCTTTGTTAAGCCTGTATTTGAGGTCAATAAACTGACTCCTGAAATTAATTTTTCCAGCTGTTGACTCTACATGTTCCTCTGTAAGAAATACATCCTCCAAGCCATCCCCAGCCATTAGCTATCACACTCCACAGGCACTTGTTCTCCCCCTCAACTTCACATCTATCTACCTGTCATTCCTCATTTGCTCTAATACCTTTACTGCTCCTACTGCTGAGCCTGCCGCACATGGAGAGCTGTTTAACAAGAAGCTGAAGACAACCAAGATGCATTGTAAATACAGAATGAGACAGACCTGATCACAGCAAACTTCTGCAAAGCAGAACAGTTAAATGCTGCTACCAGCCTGCTCCCCCACCCCAAAATCTCCATCATCTGCAGAATGCAAACTCCCTCATCACACTCACAGCACAATGCAATGACTGAATCCTTTTTTTTTTTTGCACACGTACACAAATGGTTGCCAGATTGAATACTGGGCACTTGCACGGCACTTGCAAGCAAGAGCATGCAAAATCATGCTAAGGAGGTAGGCTGAAACCACCACCACTTCCTTGAAAACTACAAATATTACTGTAATGTAACTGACGGTTTCATAAACCAGCCCCTTACTAGCAAGGCAAATCTCCTTTCACAAACCCACCACACCAAAAGGAACCTCCCTGAAAAAAACCCAGAACATTCAGGAGCTCAAAGAGAAAACGTCCCATCTCATGCTATGTCACAGGAAGTCTTTCATCCAAGGGTAACTGGAAATTTCACTTGTTTTCAGTAAACCACAGAACCTGACAAAAGAAGAGAAGCGTAGGGAATAGGACTGTCTCACACAATGGCTTGAGAGATCAAAACACCACAGAGTTGAACCAACTTCTTCCTAAATAATCGTGAATAAAACCAAGAATAGAGTAAGAATCACACAAAAGTCTGCTACTAACCTTGATAACCACAGCCGCTTCTGCTCACTAGCATCTTTCTCACATGGCCTGAAGGTCCTTTGCAAACTAACAACCTAATATCCTCAACAGAAAGTAAGGCAAGCAAGTAAAATGCTTTTTGGTTTACAGGTAAAAGGCAGTAAGTATGAAGCATTCATCCAAGCTCACAGCATAGTGGAGGGGAGAAAAAAAACTAGCAAGACCCCCCCACACACGTTTAGTTTCCCCAAAATAGATCTCCACAAAGCAGCAGGCAATAAACATATCCTTACTGCAACCTGGATTATTGTCCTGTCACTGTATCTCTCAAAGACCCTCTCCAGTGAGTGCTGCAGCAGGAAACAAACACTGTGGCTCACAGGGAACTGATTTATTTCCTATGCAGAAGGGTGACCAGAAGAAAGGGGAACTGCTGATTCATTTGATTCCCAGAGAGAAGTATAGGAAAACTATGATCCTCTATTCCCAAAATAGGCAGTCTCTACATCTTCAAAATAGCTGTAAAAATGCATTCACTGTGCACTGAATCCACAGCTGCTCTGTGTCTGATACAAGCTCACATGTCACTGACACCTCAAGGTGGGAAATGATTTCACAGTGACTACAAGCAGTCGACACCTGCATCCAAGGACATGGTCAGCCCTTAGGGTGGGATGTAACATGTGCAGGTGTGAACCCCTGTGTCCAAATCCTCATGTGCAAGTTAACTGTGTTCAAAGGCTCAACTGACTCCTTCTCCTGCCACTTATTCAATTCAGATTCCTTTACAGGCACATGGTCCAGGCTCTCCCACTGCTCCGTAGCTCACATGCAAAACAAGCCTCTATTATTTTTCTGTCTAAAAAAAAGGTCACAAAACCTCATTTGAGAATCATCCTGAATTCAGCAGTGACAGAAATGCATCTTGATACCATGCAGCATGACACCATGAAATGACAGGAAAAAAAAAGCAGTTCCCAGATCTCCCTTTACAAGTTGCAAGCAAACAGACAGCTATTTGGCTGCCAACAGTATCAGTGGATAAGAAATGTGATCAAGCAGTTAAGGAAAGCCTACTCACATGCACCAGGACTCAAATGCCTGCCAAATGTGAAGTACAGAAAAGTCTCCTTCCAGGGATGATCTGAGCAGGGACACTGGAGGGTATTTCACCTTCCCCCTTCCCCTCGAGCACAGGGTAGGAGGCATCCTGGAGGGCATCTCCAATACAAACCTGTTTCCTACAACCGTCAGGGATGGGCACATGAAGACACTGGTCGCTTCTGCTATTTTTTACAGGTTCATAAAGAAACAAGAGAGTTGGTGACTTGAAAGCAGCAAGGTTTGTCTTTTAGGATGTGGGTTCCTGAGCCGTAAGGCAGAAAGCAGACACCCGCTGCTGGAGGCGGCAGAGACAGGAGGAAAGAAGAATCTGTGACAGTCAGTGATGACCTGCAAGGATCCTATCTCCACAGTGGTGAGAAAAGGGGACACAGTGAGGACAAAAAGGTATAGGAGCCAGCCTCACTTCAAAAACGTTAGGAAACATCAACACAGGCGCTATTGACCATGCACTGATTAAAATGCAATTTAGCATTTGTGCCTCGCATGGCTTGAGACCATGGGCTGAATTTTACTTAGCTGTTAAGAGGCCAAATTTTGTCCCAGTACCCATTTTTATACCTGCTGGGTTTAAACATGGCTTTCAGACAGCACATCAGAACCACAGAGGAGGCAAATCAGATGCCAGTCTATTAAAAGAACCAAGTACAGCACATCATGCCAAGCAGGGTGGAAATAGTCCAACGCAAAGTCCTCTTCAGCCACGCAGACACCGATCTATCACTTTCCTTCTGTGCCATTAACATTCTGGGATGGGGCAAGACAGCAGGGAGAATTATTTGTCCGCTCTCTATCTCTTCATTTAATACAAAACTAAGAGCCACAGTCTCTGAGGAGTAAGAAATTTCTCAGGGAAAAGAACTGCAGCCATTCATTTGTATTCTGGTATGTGTCAGTACACAAATAATACTGCCCAGAACAAGGCTGGCAGACAAGAATAGTAACGCAAAGCCAATGAACTAATGGTAACCCAGAAACCAGAAAAGAAATCTGTAAAATAAATCTGGTCACCCTACGCTAAAACATGCATTGTAACACAGCATCCAGGATAATCCAGTTGCCACTTTCTGAGGTGAAACTTGGGGATTATCAGTCTGGGAAGACTTAAACGGAAAAGATCAAAGACCACCCTACAAACAGCAATGGGCAACCTCATCTCCACAAGGATGCTCCAATGGCCAACATACTTGCCAAGGACCGTGGAGACCCGAGCTCAACTCCCACTGCTCTCACAAGCAGACACAAAGCTGATCCCATGTGAGCACAGTTTATAGCTGGGACTGTGACATTCAAACATCCATGATTCAAAAGCACTGTTTAATCTGATGGCCAAAAGTTTCCAGAGACAATCAGCCACCACACAAAGTACAATGTACTTCTTAGAGGACAGGAAGTTACTGCTTCATCTAACTGAACTTCAGGCTGAAATGGAGAATTGTCAAGAGACTGTTAAGGTAGAAAGCTTGCTAAGAGAGTTATCAGCTACGTAGCTAGAAAATTTGTGGCCACTGCAGATATTATAAATCCTGCTCAAAAATCAGAATACTGACTTCCAGCTAAAAGAAGAGCCATCTCTACAGAGTGTGGTTTTCTTTTTCTGCTATAAAACAATGACACACCACATTCTGCCACAAAAATTTAAACAGAAAACAATCATTTCCTTGCCTTGATGACCAATTCCACGTCTGGTCAAGGGACATTTACTTGTGAGCTCCAGCAGCATAGTGAGGTACCGCTTGTCAGGTGAGCTAAGAAGCACACACATTCCTGGTCCACTGTGACCACAAATTAAAACACATCTCAAACCATGATGAAGGTGGTTTGAACAAAATGCATTCTACTTTGCAAGCAGGGGCACATACAACCTCTCCAATCCTGTCCACCACACCTCAGGTGGCAGTGGTCAAGGTGTTATGATGCACTAGCTCAACTACTAGCAGATGTAGGAAACAATCCCTAAGATCAAATGGGGTATCTCAGTGTGACAGCAGACACAGAGCTCCACAGCCCTGGAGGCACTTCCAGCACGACAACGCAGCCCACACCTCAGGTAATCCAAGCCATTGTGTTCTACCACTGACCTTGTAATAAGAAAAAGAAACGCGCCTAGTATCACTTCAAAGTGCAGGGAACATGCTTGTACAAAGTGCATCATGGAAACAAACAAATTCTGTTAACTACCACTCAAACCTGCTATTACTGCTTTGGACTTTTGGGCAAGGATCTTGCCAGATGTCTCAGAGGGAGGCAAGCCTTGCCCTGTTTTAGAGGAAGGCAGTGAGGTTCCATGAGATGAAAGAACATGCCCAATGTCACCGAGCAAGTCAGCAAGACAAAAAGAAAATGGACCCCAACATAAAATCCATCTCTTGCCTTCATCATTTTGCTCATCTTCAAAACCACACTGTCGCTGCTGAAACTCCACTATGAATCTGCTTTACTGATGGAGAAACTAAGACAGAAGGGACAGTTTCTGGGCCACATTCACAAAACAAGTCATCAGCGGAGCAGAGGCCAGGCACCTCAGCACTGACAGTGTGGCACCTCATCCCTCTGGGGTTGACCTGACAAAGGCCATCATTATTTCCTGAATCTTGTCTTCTGACGCTATTTCCAATGCACAGTGCAGAGATGTAAGTGAGAGTGGAGTCCCAGGGAGTGTTTTACTGGGAAGATCTGCTGCTAGGGCAGTCTTGCCCTCCATACAGCAGGAAGATGCCCTGGCTCAAGCTCCTACTCATCACACCTTCTTCTCCAGCACTTCCCATGTAATCTCTGTCTTCTGTCAATGCCAGGGACCCCATCTTCAGTCCCCCTCTCCCTGGATGCCCCCCACATCCTGCCTTTATCCCACTGCATCTCAACATCTCCTTCCCCCTCAGCCCCAATAATCTCCTACCCCACCTCCCCGAATCCTGCATAACTCCTTCCTCTATCCCCCATGTCCTGATCCATCTCGCTGGATGCCCCATGCCCCCTTTCCTGTGATCCCCTTCTTACTCTCCCACCTGCCTTTTTCCCCCATCTTATCTGGATCCCCCACAGCTCCTTCCCTCACCACCCTTTGTTTTGACTCATCTCCCCTAGATCCCCCATACCCCTTTTTCACCAGTGCCACCCCCCACCCTGTGTATTGCTCATCTCCTCTGGATCCCACACAACCCCCTCCCCCTAGTCTTTCCTAAATTTCCCCCTTCTCCTTTCCCGTAGCACTGCCCACTTCTTCTGGATTCCCTCCAATTTTCTTCACCTCAGTCCTCCCTAAATTCCACCATCCCCTTCCCCTGTTTCCACCAATCTTCCCTAAATCCCACCATCTCCTTCCCCCATCTTTCCTGAATATCCCTCCAATCCCAGTCGCCCCAACTCCCCCCAGTCTCCTCTGGATTCATCCCCTCTCCAGGTTCCCCCCAACCCCTCCCCCCTGTTAATCCCCAGCCTTCCCTCGATTCCACCATCTCCCTCCCCAGCCCCCCTAAATCTTCCCTGACTACTTCCCCCATCTCCTTCCCTTCAATCTTCCCTAAATCCCCCCAATCCACTTTGCCTTGGTCCTCCCCAATCTCCTCTGGGTCCATGTATGTTCCCCGCCCCCCGCTCCAATCCCGTTCACCCTTGCCATCCCCAATCTCCTCTGGGTCCTCCCTATCT